GTTTTTGGGGAATAATACTTATTAAGTGTGTTATCAATTTTTTATTTAGGATATGGTTGTTGACATGTTCGTTTTTATCTTTGAATCCTCAAAATTTCTTGGAAGCTCTAAATTTACTAATCTCAAGCAAATAAACATGGGACTTGGTTACTAACATATCGTTTTTCTTATATCGTTCGTTGTTTGGAAATTTGTATTTATTGTGCACGTTGGATATCCTGTAATTTTCTTGGGACCTATTAGAATGGGATTGTTCCCGAAATTACTATTGACAATTTTATTTTTGATATTGCAAGATTTACTAATCGATTTCCAGCACTTAATTTATTATTGCCAATCCTAAATTTAGTATTGCTAAGATTGAATTTTCGATATAAAATATTTAATGAATATTCAAGATTTCATTTCAGATTCCCATTTATTGAATTTAATCCCTCTTGATTACCATATATATTTGTTGTTAGGGATGGTTTACAAAAAACACGAGCGTATTGAGAACAAATTTGTAGAATGTATGAAATATATATTTCTGGGATGTAGTAATGAACTTTCCGTGAATGCCTCATAGAATTTATATATGATTGTTATAGATTTAGTGTGATTTTCCATGAATGTTATATGAATATTCTATAATTATTAATGAATTTCTTTGTATGTTATATATATTGTTTATGTGTCTTCTTTGTATTTGGTTTTTGCACTTTTTATATATATTCAATTTTTATGTTTTTTTTTTTTTTTAATATATATATATATATATATTATATATATTCTCTTGATTTCTAGATATTATCTATTTATTTTCTAAAATATTTCTATCACATGCACAATTAATACATAGACAATATATAGACATTTTATAAAATATTATATAACAATTATAGAAAAATACAAAAAGATTAATGTACATTTCATGGACATATCCTAAGAATCAATAATATATTCAAAAATTTAGTTTTGGTTAGCTGCAAGGCAATATTATAATTTCATTTTGCATTGTTATGTATTTGTTACACTCCATTCTTTTATTTTTCCCTTTGGTTGATGTTGCGTACTTGGACTAAGATTAAGCCCTGGTTCTCTCCTATTTCCCCAATATTGCCCTGATTCACATATTTTTGTTTGATTTCATTTGAATCTTTATAGAAGACACTAAATAAACATCTACAATTATTTTCTAATAATTCTTATGTTAGTTTATATTTATATAGCCCCCTAGCAAAAAAATAAATTAATAACATTTATTCAATTTAATTAAAACTATATTAAATTTGATTAAAATATAGAATTATAAACCCTTATTAAAAAGAAATGGAATACTCAATATTGTTCTTTATATGAATTTTGATTCTAGGACAGATTATATGGAATCATCCCAATTAAAATCAATCTTTTGAAAAGAGGATATCACCAATAGCAATTGTGACCAAGACCATCTAAGAAAGGATACCCAAAAACGTGTGAATACCAAAAAAACCATCAAATCAAATTTTGGAAAATCCAACAAATAACAAATCCGAGAAATAGAAAATATAAACCAAATTTCGGGAGGCCAAGAAACAATACAAACATCACCACGACAAAATACTAATAAACAGGAAGCTTAAATAAACTCAGGTAATATTACCAATATTATCCTTACCTCCAGGCCGCCCTAGACCACCCCGGAGCCTATCTGGGCTAAGACCCCAAAGCTTTCAACTATTGGGAAAAACTATGAAACAAGGAATTTCGTAACTATTGGTTGCCAAAGATATTTACAAGCCGACAGGACGCACATTTGGTAATAAAACATATGGAGAACATACATATTTATGGATGACATAATTTTGAAGAAATATAATTAAGGAACATTTCAGAACTATATATATCGATAACCTCAATATTGCACTCTACATATTTGACACAAATTGTAATTACAATTTTTCCTAGGTGAATATATATTAAAATTTGGATAAAGCAAACCATTTTGTATATTACAATTTCCTATGTTCAACATATAATCTGATATGATTTATTATATTGTAAGCCAAATATTTGATTAAATAATTGATAGTCATATATTTTATTAGCCAAAACATGTTAAACATATAATTAAGACACATCTCTAGATTATGATTTTCTATGTCCTCAATATTTTAATAAACCATATATTTGATATAATAAATGGATAATTATATAATTTTATTGGTCGATTTTATTGAAATAGAATTAAAAGATATTTCTGACTATATATTTTGAATAATTATAACCAAGGGACATATTAGGAGTTTAATTTCCTTGGGTCTCGATATGTTGTAGGTCAAATGTTTGATATTAGGAGTTGGTGACCACGAAATTTTATGGGTCAATATATTTTAAATACAGGTTAAATAAATTTCTGGATTACCATATTCAGAGGCCTCAAATTTTATAATTCACTAACAGAAACAATGGTAACGATTTTGTATGGGATAATATATTTTGAGAATTCGATTTATGCACTTTGGATTACGATTTCTTACAGCTTCGATACTGCAGGCCAAATAATTGACAAACCAAATAATTATTATTATTTATATATAGGTGAAGATAATATGGAAATTCAAAAATAAGGATAAATATCGGAATAATTTTCTATAGTTTCAAAATTTTGCAGACCACATATCTGTCAAATAAATTGGTGACTATATATTTCTATTAATAAACGTATTTTAGCAAAATAATTGTGATAGATAATACCTTTTACCCAAGGGGTGCTGGGCCCACCAAAATTTGAATTTTCCGACTTACTAAACATCAAATAAATAGGTCCTCAATTTGTAATTCAAATGCATTGTTTTCGATTAGGCCTCCATAAAAACAACATAATTTTATTTCATTATCATAAAACAAATATCAATGTAATAACCCCCCTATAAATATTTTATATTTATAGATATTTCAAAATTAATTTAAACACGTGTAAACCAATCTATTGTTATATAATAATACAAAACAATATATAATATTATTCCTATTCAAATATAGCCTTAACACAAACATATATATATATATTTATCTATATATATCATATTTAAATACATATATTTTTAAAATTAAATAATTCAAAAACAGGTGCCGTAGAATCAGCCTGATAGCAAACCAAAAGAAATCATAAATAAAATTGCATATTCCAAATCGTATAATCCAAATCAATAAAAACAAGAACACCCATATATTTTAATTCTTATGATTTATTTTTCTATAATCAATTCTTTGGATGAATAGATAAAATGATATTTTATGAATATTTGGTTTTGTGTGTTTATTATTTTATATTTGCTCGTTAGGCATATTTCTCTTACCTTAAATATCGGTTATTAATTATAATTAATAGAAATGATTATATATTTATTGATATTGAGTTCGTTGCTTTGTATTAATATAATTTATATTTGCTAAAACCCGGATTTTAAGATTTTGGTGATTTAACACTGCATAATTTTTATTAATTTAAATATACAAAATACAATAAACATATTAATAAACAATTTTAAAAAATAAAAAATACATATTAATCCTATATCAATATAATCAAATTTATACATACACCATACCATAATACACATAATACATTCCAATTCAAAAAATATAATTTATACCCGAATTCTACCATATATTACATACAATAACATAATTTAAATACATATTAAACAAATCACAATTATTATAAACCATATAATAAACAAAAAAACACAATTTATAACCAACAAAAACAAAAACATTTGAAATTATTCAATCATCCAATCATCCATAAAAGAAAATTAAAATATATATCTAAGTTCATCCAACCCATTACATATAACCATTTTCTACAAAACACTACAAAAATAACAAATCCTCGAAGATTTATAAATTTTATCCAATCCCAACCTCCAAAAACCCAAATACAATTTCACCACTCCACTTTATATAATAAATTCAATTTCAATATATATTATTTATTAAATAATTATAATATCAAATTATATATAAATATCTCAAATTCATATCCAGATAGACTAATACAAAATATATTAAACCAAATTATATTCACCTCCAAAAATATATAATAAATATCTATATTCACCCTCCAAGAATATATCAATTCCTTAATACATATTCATTCTATATATTTCAATGGAACTTAAGACGAATTGCCATGTTTAATCAATTGTAGATTGATTCTGGTTTCATGAAGCGTCTTGCCATTGCTACGGTTATGCGTTGCGGGCATTGTGTCTCGCAACGTGTCTTTTGCCATGCAATTTCAAGGCACACTCAGCCTGTCTTGCCAGGAAACAAACAACAACAATCATCTTGCTCAACTCATGTTAGCATTTAGGATCTGTTGTGGCCTCAAGATTCGGGCTTTGCTCTACTTTCAGTACTGTCTTGTGCCTTCCGAACCAAGGCATGACAAACCTATTTTTGCCTGGCTCATTGGCAAAACTTCTACCGGATACTGCAGGATTGCTCAGAAAATAATGATATGAGCCTTCCAAGACTTCCCATGAACTGCGATACGTGGGTAGTTGCTTGACTTCAACTCAGGTCAGGTGTGCATGTGAAGATGAAACAGGAATAAACAACGGACAGCACTGTGTCCTTGCCAACGTCAGAATGAATGGGGGTCTGTTGGAAAGTCCTGACAAAAGCAGCCAAACAAGGTCCAATTTCGAATCTCTCAACACACATGCCAATGGGCTGAAAGAAAACAACCAACAACAACTCGCCATTTCAGGCTGCCCAGTTTCACAGATCTGCCAACGAAAAGGTGGTCACCAGTCCCCACGCGGTCAACCCAATCCGGGTCCAGTCCGCGAGGCAACAACTTTCCAAGGCAAGGCAGCTGGAAGCAAGATTGACTATACAACAGCGCCTTTTTGTGGCGCCAATCCCAAGCCCACAGCACGAAACATCGAGAATTGGCGAAAATAAGAATCCATGCCAAATCGACTGCCCGCAGTTGGGTCTTCTTCCTCTCTGATAAATGTTGCTGATCCATTCACTGCGTGCTGTGCGCGCTCGAGGATGAATTCAATCGCCCGGAGCGTGTCACGCGCTGCCAGGGACGGCGCTCGCCTCCTGGGGACACAACGTGTTGCCAGCAATAGATTGTTGGAATACCCCCCCCCCCTCAAAATGCGCGGCGTGCCATTGGCTTCCCTTTACGACCACCTGAAAGCCGGTATCCCCCCACAGAAAGGCCGGGGGCGTGCAATCTTCCTAACCCAGGGACTGGTGCTTCGGGAATTTCCTCAGTTGGTCGTTGGACTGATGTGGCAGGCTACAATCATCCCACACTGTAGCGAGACAGTCACGGCGTACAATCATCACAGAACAACATGCAACCTGGTTGAAATACCGTCAGTTGCCTCGGGGATGGCGAGGGCCCGAGATTGAAACAAGGATCAAATATGATCAAATCATAGAAAATCAAACCTATTCTAACAAAATGATTCCAGCCCCCCCCACAATCGCTCCTTTCAAACAAGCAGGACACATCCTGGAGAATCAAGACTTGCAATGAAGAAAGCTTGTTGAAGGGACTTGGGGAATCTGGCGTTTTGAGGGGTGCACCTAGCTGGTTGTGACTCACTTGCGACAGAGTTGACTCACTCGCCACTCGCATAAGCGGTGCAACATTTGAGGCCGTTGCGACAGCTCGACATGCTCGACTCTCTGCCAGGGCGCAGCAAGCGCAGGGGCCGCCCTGTCCGCAGGGCCAAGTCTGCGCCGGCACCTGCGCGCAGGCCTCGCGGCACCGGGCGTCGCTGGCGCCAAAGTTGGCGGCCTTGGCCTCTGCGGTGGCCACGCAGCCTGAAAAGGACGGAGCCGACAACGCTTAACTTGCTGCATAGGCGTTGAACATGCCCATGCCCCTTTGTCTAAGGTGTCCATGGCCTCGCTACAACTAATCCAGCACCCACGCTGCCAGTCTCCCCTTTGTGCAACTCATGCGTCCGCTTTCTAAACTTGGTTGCCTCTGGGCATTCTTTTGATGACCTTATGACTACCTTAAAGCCGTGTCATATTCTTCGGCCTCCGGTGGTTGTTGTGGCTGCCGTTGTGGTTGGTGCCGCGGTGGTTGGTGCCGCGGTGGTTGGTGCCGCGGTGGTCGTTGCAGTCGCAGCGGTCCCCAGGACGCAGTGAGGAGAGGGACAGCTGGTGGCACTGTGCCGGGCACACCATTCGTCATAGACCTGGACCACGAGAGGCTGGGCCAAGTTTGGTTCAGGGCTCACTAAATTTCAGAAGAGTACCCCACAGCCTCGAAGGTGCCTCGGAAAATCCGCAGGTTAAGCTTTATGCGATTCAGAGTTTTCCCAAACAAGCGGGCGAAACACTGACGTGGCACCTCTTCAACTGCCCGTCTCCGCCAAAAACTGGGAACCGTCGCTAACACTAGTCCCTGCCTCCGACTGGCCACACCAGGCGCTGATTGAACAATCGGTGTTGTGAATGCAGCTGGCTGTGCCAGAGGTTGCCGCTGTCGTGGACGTTGCCGCTGTCTGTGTGGTAGCTGTCGTGGTAGGAGCTGCAGTCGTGGGAGCTGCTGTCGTGGTGGGAGCTGCAGTTGTGGGGGCCGCTGTCGTGGGAGCTGCAGTCGTGGTGGGAGCCGCAGTCGAGGTGGGAGCCGCAGTCGTCGTGGGAGCTGCAGTCGAGGTAGCAGGGGTCGTAGTCGTGGTTGAGCTAGAGCTTGGTGTAGTGGAGCCGGTGCTCGCCTTTCAGCCAGAAAGACATGCCTCAACTCATGGGTTTGTGGCTGCCTCCTATGTGGCGGCAAGGACGGTCAAGTCCTTGCGTCAGGGCTTGAAACAAGCTTCAGGCAATCGCCGGCTCAGAAGTGCCAGGGCCTTGTGGCCGCCCCATGATTTGACCCAAAAATATCCTCACAAGTGACATCCTTACGGACTTACGGGAAATAACTCCGAAGCAGTCAGCCATGCCTGCGAAGTGGTAGGGCCGCAGGTGGTTCCTCTCGAAGCTGGGATGGGAATCTGTCAAAACCCAGGTGGAGCGAGCCCCTAAAATGATTGGCTTGGTTGCCTTTGAAGCCCTCAAAAGGGTCCCTGGTTTGATGCCAGAGTTTCCAGGTTCCTGACGTGTCCGTCCACGCCGCTTCGGATATATTCTCAAGTCGTGTAAAATGTTAGGCTCCAGAACAATCCAAGCCACACATTGGGCTTGCACTGCCCTCACTGCATGCTGGATTGCTTACCTGAGTTATTTTTCTTGCAGATGGACAGATATCGAGATTCAGTTTAGAGCTTTGTCAGAGTTGCTACCGTGGGACATGCTTTTGCCAACCTTGACGTTGTCGGCCTCTATCGGGACGATATGAGATATGTGCTACATACTGCCCAATGTCCCTTTCTCAAGAAGGTTCTTGCCAAACATGACTCTTCCCGATGAGGTTCAAGGTAACAAATGACTACCGTGACGAAAGCACAGCTGCTGCACAATGCAACATGGTAACGGGTTTGGGGTCTTAATGCAATCCCGACATTGGACATCACCTCGAGGGCTTGCCTACCGCACCAGCCACTGGAACATCGCCCTGGACAGTTTCAGGCTGGTGACCAAAAACAAATTGATCAAGAAATGCTTCAAGTCGAGCCACCAGCTTTAATTCCAGGAGTGAGGCTCAATAAACAGATCTTGCACTTCAAACACCCGGACCAATTTCCTGCCACCACATGCCTCAATAAAACCTGACTCTTGCCTCGCTGCCTTGTCCAGGACGGAGACAACATCAAGCTGTGAATCTCAAGAACAGCTAGTTTCGTTCCCAAAGATTCAACATCGCACCATTGGAATACACTACCTCTTTCGGGCTTGCCACATACGACTCTTGCTTGGTCAGATCAGGTTGACGGGGCAGCCCAATCGCAACCCGGGACCATCCTCACCTGCATCCGAAAGCTTGACCTCTGCCCCAAAACTGAAAGCGCTCAAACCTGGCAACCAAGAGGGAAACACCTCAAATCTGCCAACCTTCTCAGAACCAAATATGCTCGGAGCCCCCAGAAAGGGGGGGGGGAACTTTACCCGAACAGCCTGAAACCCCGGAAGCTCTAAGCGTCCTCCACTGCTCATGAGGCTTATCAGCGGGAAGCCCTGGCTGAAGTCGTCCAGATCCAAGGCCCAGACCATCGAGCCCGCCAAATTCCGCGACCTTAAAAATTCAGATGGCGAGGGTTTCGGGGGTGCCCTAAACCCGAACCAGCCAACTTTCAACTGAACCAATCCGGAGGCCTTTGGAGGGGCTCTTGAGATGCAGCCACACATTCCGAGAGATGTCACACGCTTGAATCCGCTTGAACATGTAAACAACATCGCAACAAAAGAGATTCCCATGCAGGGAAACTTTTTCAGGGAATATTTTTCCTCGATGAGGTTGCAGCCCCCAAGTAGGTGAAGTCGCTATAATTCTACGTAATCTACCAACTGGTCAACTGAGTGGTCTGGCCCACAGAGCGCGTCTGGCGCTTGGCAAACGCAAGCACAACACAATCCGAGCATTCAACAGAGCGCACGCGGCTCAAACATGTTGTTCGCAAGAGTCAACCAAAGGCTTGAACACTCTTGCAGACTTCAAGGCAAATCGTCTAGCTACAGCGTGCTTCAGAAGTGTCGAGCAAACTGTATTGCACAACTGCATCACTGAAAATCGCTCAGAACAGCTGCGCAACACCGTCTAGTTTGTATTCTGTCTACCTTCCGATCTGTGGATGTCTAATTGGGGTACTTCTCCATGCTTTGTAGGGGACCTTCTTTCCAGAAATCAGCCACTAGTAAGGGAATCGGCTGGGTTGTGAAAGAACGATGGAACAATGATAGAACATCAAGCCCCAGGGCGCTTGGAGCTCCCAAGTCTTTCAGCGCGCACCTGGCAAAGGCCAGCTTGGCGCAGATTGTCTCCACGTCATCGTAGCCAATCCACTCACCGCCGCTCACTGCATACGCGCAGTGACGCACCTGAGCTCTTTTCGGTTGCTGAAACAGTTGGGGTTGTTGCCAAACGGGGGAACCCCAAAGTGGGTGCTTTCCTCTTGGTGATGCTTCCAGGGTTCCTTCATGATCAGCGTTGCTGAATTCAAAAGCATGAGCTCTGAACTGGTCGCGGAGCAAATGGGAAACGCCTAAGACACCCACTTGCTTTCTTGGAACAAGGCTGGTCACCTTCGAGTGCCTGCAGCCCTGACTTCAAATGCAGCAATCCTAGTTCCGGAAACAAGGAAGAGCGCGAAACACCAAATACATCTTGTTTGGCAGTCACAAGCGATGAACCAGGGGCAATCAAACTCCAACATCTTAAAATCTTTCAGGGCTCCCCAATGTCCCCAACTTTGCACGAACACTCGCAAAGCCTGAGCTTCGGGGGGTACTGTTCACTCCGAGACACCGGATCATGGGTGTTGGTCGCTGCAGGGTCGCTGCTAAGCATCTCCTGGATCTCATAGTAGGCGCGAAAGCCCTTCTCGCCTGACTGGCGTCTCCCAGCTCAAACTCTCAGCCTTTGAGCCTTTGGGCTCCGCCAACGCTGAATGAAAAAACATGTACGCATGGTGGCCTCTCTCAGGTCCAGGATGGTGCAAGCGTTCTGGGTTTGAGGCTTGGTATGAGCTTCGGCCAGTTGTCAAAGCTGCTGAAAGAGCTGGGATCTCACAAGGTCATTGAAGTTCGAGGAGTTTAGCGTATGGAGCTAAAGGGACCATCCCCAGGGATCAGAGCTGTCCAAGTGCGCCAGGTTGGGGCTCTCCAATCTTCGCGGCGCCATGTTGGGGTGCCACAGTCTTGGTGCAAGTTCTGGAACATGCCGAATGAAGCTGCAGCCAAGCTGCATTCACAAGAAGGTGGTTTAGCTTGCTGGAAACACGGTCAAACAGAACCATTGCCCCTTTCAATCAATCTCCATGTAAGGAACATCACGGTTCGCTCGTTTTACCCCCATGTGAGCTTGCTATCATATTGTGCAAAATAGGAACCCCACGTTTCCCTTTTTTGACTTTCCCCTGAAGTTTCCTTTAAACCACCCCAAGGAAGGCACCCAAGAAACACACGCTCGTATGATCAGATTCCTTTGACAACCAGCAGTTACTGATGGCCCTGGCCTGTGCTGGTGCCCCCAGCGCACGCCACGTTTGCCACGTCGTTCACTTCGGTGCCGGCTTGGACCACCCAGCCGCGGCCGTAGGTGGGCAAGCCGATGGTCAGCTTGGAGGCCGGCGCGCCCTGCAAAACATGGCTTGCCCAAAGACGGTGTTCCGCAGTTTACGGAGATTCCGAGAACAAATGAGAGTTGCTTTTTGACGAGTTCCATGTTCTGGGGAGTGGTCTGGGGCGTAAGGTACCCGCACGGCTGAGCTCCTGAGCTCCTTACAAGTATTAGACTTACTCCAGGTGTGGTTGGGGTAGTCTTTCCAGCTGCCCCCAACGGCCTTTTACTCCTCCGCAAGCGACCAACTCTAAGCAAGGGTTCGACAGCCGCCGTGGAACATACCATGCATCAAATTTAACTCTACCCCATACAGGTTTAGGTCTAAGGTCTTACGGGTTTAGGTTGCCGGTTTTAAGGTCCAGGTTTGGGCTTTTTGGCTTGAGGTGTAATTAGGCTTAGGGTTTAGCTCTAGGGTTTAGGTTTAGGATCTTCAGGGTTTAGGTTTGGCCCCAAACTGATCCCCGTTGGTAGCCCTAAGCAAGGCATCATGAACACACACACACATGCCAAAGAACCCACCTGAAGCAGGCCTGAGAAAAACCGACTCCCCCCTCAACAAGGGTGAGCAGTACCATGAACGGGGAATTTAGCTCCTTTACTGAGCGCCCACACTTCAAAGGCGGGCTTTACTGCTAGCCAAGCATGGGTCTTTCTAAGTTCGACTGCACTTCTACGCGGCATTGTGGGCGGTGCATCCACTGCCGCTGCCGCAGCCATTTGGGTAATGGCTTCTCAGGTCCAGCGCGTGCGGGGTGTATGAAGGAAGTTGGGGCACTTCCCATCCCGCCCCAGCTCGCCAGCTCGCCCGATATGCCGCCTGCTGCAGCCAGTAGTCCACCGCCCAGGACACGCTCAAGGGGTACTCCGCCAAGGCGGTGTCTTCCTCTGTGGCGTACAAAGGCGCATTGCAGCCCAGCCGTTTCTCCCATGCCCCGTGCATGTCGTAGGTCATGAGGTTGATGAGGTCCAGGTACCTCAGCCGTTCACTTCTTTTGCCAGTTGGAGGTGAGCACGGAAAACCATTCTTGCCTTTCTGGCACTGGGTCCGCCGGCTTCATGTTTGAAGCGGCGTGGCGGCCTTCGAAGACCAGATGGTTCATGGGGGCCAGCCCTTGTGCATGCCAACAGCAAGCAATTGGCTATGCTCTTTCGCTGTGTCCACCCATCAACAAAGTAAGCACATGTGTTCCGGGTGCGAAATAGGGCCCATTTCCTTCCTCGGAAGCGAATCAGGCCTGCGCTTTGCAGGGCGTGTTGCTGGCTCATGCCGGGGATGTCGTAGGCGGTCTCCGCCGTGGATTTGCCTACGCCCACAGCAGCAGTCAGCAGCAGCGGGTTGGAAGTGCTCTCTTTCAGGAACTCCTCCTTGAACGGTCAGGTGACCCCTCACTGGTGGTTTGGATTGGTGGTTTGTGGATTTCAGATCAATGGGAACCCCCTAAACTCCAAACCACCAATCCATACCGCCAACTAGAGAGAAGCTGAAACAGTCGAGATATCCGCCAAACTGCAAAAAAAAAACAGCTCAAAGCACGGTGTTGCGCCTGTGCCAATCAAGGGAGCCGACAAGCAACTCGAGGGATCTTGGGTTTGTACTTGTATTCCCATGAAGCAATACAAAGCAAAGCCAGTCCTTCAGCAGTCGGAGCATTCGAATATAGTTGGTGAAGTCCTGCGGAGTGAGGCGTTCTTCAGTCTTGATCTTACCTCACCTTGTGTAAGCGCATCCCCCTCCGCCCAACCGTGATGATGTCCCAGGGGTCACGCCCCCCCCCCACTCCAAGGGAATCCGCATATGTGATGGCAGGTTTGTTGGTTTCTGTATGTGCCGTTCTGTTGCAGTTCTCCTTGAAAGCAATCCAATTAGAAAAAGAGCACATCTTGTAGAGATGCTCCTCGAGAAATGCTTGGTTCGAGCTCACTTGTACTCACTTGCCAAGCAGTCATCTTTGCTTGCCACTGGCGTACATCCAGATGAGTCGGGGCTAACGATACTCCAAAACTCGCCATCACCTCCAAGAAAGGACCTTCATGGATGAGCTCATGATCGGGTGAGCGTCCTGGGGCGTAGCGGAGCCGCCGTTCTTGTTGTGACCAGCAACCACAGGGTATTCCCAGTCCAGGTCGAAGCCGTCGAAGCTCCACTTCCGGCAGAAGCTGATGATGTTGGCTGCGAACTGCCTGGTCTTTGCCTAGGCCGTCATGCAAGGCATGAGCGCGCACCATGGTTGGAATGGTTTCAAATATTAACAAGTCAGATCTGAATTTAGGCACTCAAATGACGCGATAGCTGGAGGCCGAGAACATCGTGAAAGCGAAATCGGACCTTTGACTGCAAAAAGGGTCGGTGGTCGACACTGTAGCACTCGTTGTGCAATGCTAGCCTGAAGAGGGGACCCCTACGACAAGTGTCTGAACGCCCACTTAGGGGTGAATGAAGTTTCCCAATGTGGCTATAGGACAAAACCAGAATGGTGGCCTTTATTGCGCTGGCCTCCATTGACACATGAGTCAAAATCAAAACCCGGTGTTAAATGGTCGACCCAGAACCATGTAAAGAATTAAGAAGGCGGCCGCTGCTATTTATGGCTGGGAGTGTCCCTTACTAACCTTCACTTACCCGGGTTTTGATTGTGGCTCACATCAAGGCACATTACATTTCAGAAACCCAAAACGAAGAAACCCCATGCACGGTAGCTTCATCGCTGGTGAGCCCTTTTTGATCTTACCCCAGGACCTGAGCTCGTTGATTGTCCAGGTGTGCTCCTCCTCGGGCTTTCAAAGTTGGACTTTCCAGTTCAAGGGCTACGCTCCCATTGAATCGCGGAGGATACGAACACACAAACACCTCTCAATTCAAAAGCCTGCAAAGTTCACTTTTTCTGGCTGCTTGTTTTGGGGGATCTGAACAAGGAAGCACCAAACGTCGCTCATCTTTTGGTTTTACTTTGGGTAAAGAGAAAACCTAGGCTATGAACCGCACCCAGACTGCGAGTCCCCTGACCACGCCTCGTCTGCCGCAATCTCGGAGAAGATCTCGCAGGTGGCAGCGCCCTGGCCAAAGGCCTCGCTAGCCCCCAGCCCATAGAAAAGCAAAAATGGATCTGAGTAGGTCCCGTCTTACCAACGGGTGTCACCCACGAAAGTGATTCGGCCATTCGGAGTCCCACAAAGACGACACCAGCCCGATCGAAATCAACTAGGGGTTGATAGTAATTCTCAGCTGACATTCTGGCTCGTCCAAATAGGGATGACGCCCGAAATGGCCTCGGTTTTCCTCGCAGGGCTTCCCCTTGACCTGAGATGGGAATATGTGGAAAGCAGGAGCTTTTCAAAGAGGCTTGGTTTCCAACGGAAACTGAGCCGAGACTGAACACGTCTTAGGCCAAGCCGCGTTCGCATTGCAGTCGTTAAAGTTCCAGCCACCCACGCTGATCAGAGCCTCATGACCATGGACGTGGCACGAGTCTTAGCAATCACTATCAGGGATACAGCAAACTTGCAGCCATAGCGGAAGAGAAGGGCAAGCTTTTTGTTGGTAGTTGACTTTAAAAGGAAACTGAATCTAAATGGCAAAGAGCGCCACTCTTTTGTTTGTGCCAATGATTGCCTTCCTGCAGCAAACGACTGCATGGTGGTGCGCTGCATTTTCTGCGAGGCCCGCCCAGCAACATACCCAAGGCCAAACGTGTCCAACCCAAAAAGTGTGAGGAGCCTAGCCAGCCACATCAAAAACATCGTGCCAGCAATTGGTGGTGGTAGCTATGAACCAACCTCATGAAGTTGTTTGCACATGCTCTCAGCCTTAAAACTCAGCATTGACTTGCATCGGGGGTCCAATCTTAGTTGTCCTCACGCACGCTGCCAAACAGCATCTATTGAGTATCAGAAGGAACAACGTGGGTGATTGTAGAAAAGCTTTTGCCTTTGTGCTCCTTGGCTTGCTAACACACACGCACAAGCAATAAAGAATCAAACACAGAAAGAAACCAAAGAAACAACGAAACAATCAACCAACTGACCAATTAAACACACAAACATAATTAACACAACAACAGACACAACAAAGAACCAGCCAGCCAGCCAGCTCATCTTTCGGATCTGTCCTTACATGAAGCAACACCATATACTTGAGGTTACTTAAGCAAACATAGATACAACAATATATATATATATGTATATATATATATATATATATGCACATCATATTGTACGTATTACCCTCAGCAGGCCCCTCCCCCCCCCCGGCCCGGGCCTTGATGCCTGGATTCTTTCGCTTCATCCCGAGGGTCGCCGCCTCGTAGCCCCGCAGGGTTCGACTGGGCGAGCACGGCCATTCGCACCTTGGCAAGAAAACGTGGCCTTTACAAAGAAAATCCTCCCCAGCACATGGCCATGGCTATGCCCCACCTTGTGCCCTGACTTTCCAACCCCAGCTTTGTATGCCCCTGGTCAGCATTCAACTCTAGGACTTCGTATGATCAACAAAGGCCACCCGATTTGGAGAAACTTCAGAAAACAAAAAACTCACTGCGGCAACCCCCCCTTGCAATTTGCGCCTGGTAGGCGTGTCAGTACCCATGACTTGATGCTCACACAACACAAGCAGGCAATGCCACTTCGTCAACAGCAATAGGACTTGACAAAGCATCCTGAGTGAGCCGAGCAAAAGAAGCCACCCAAGTGATCCCCGGCCTCTCACCGTTGGGGTCGTTCCAATCCGCCACAAAGTTGGGGTCGTTGCAAACCTCTGGGCAGAGTCCGTCCTGAGCCTCGTGGCCGCTTGGGTGATCCGCATTGGGATCGTTGCTCTTGAGGACGTAGCCCCCATCCTAGAGCCAAGGAAACCAATCGGACAGCAGGTCTTGCTTCAGGCTCCATGACGCTTTGAAGTGTCCCAAAGCGCTTTTCCCGGAAAACCCGAATGGCGGGCTTAGACACATTTCCAACAGGGCCCGACAGTGGCAGGGCAAATGGTGTTGCATGATGCATGAGCTGCACGAGGAAGGTTTAAGAGGCTGCCGAATCCAACTCCATGTGGAGGGGATGATGTCCCTTGAAGGTGCTCCAGTTGCTGAAACCCCGTCAAATCACAACCAGCTGCACCACCATGCTTTGTGATTCACCCCTCTACATGGAAGGCCACAGAATAGCCCAACTCCCATGATCTGAATTAGGCACGTGGCCGGTGCTTCAATCGGATGGTGTATGTACGTGTGGGAAGACTAATCATCATCGGTGTGGTAGTGCTTTGAAAGAAAGCCTGCAAGGCAAACCAAACACTGGTGGTGACGTGTCACCATGTGGTGTCAAAACCAGGGACCATCTTGGGGGACGTGTTGCCTTGAAAGCTGGCATCGTACTATTCTCAAAGTCACCCCCTGCGCCCAGTTTCCATGATCATTTCAGACATGGCAAAAGTGTGCATAAGTTGTTACCCAATTTCGGGTTCAAAATAGGGGTCTACTGGGACCCTGAAATTCTCAAGGGCTGGAAAAGCTGGGGTAGTAATTCAAAGCGACATGCGACTTCCAAGCCTCCCATAGCTCAGCCTGAAAAAGGGTACCGGCCTCCCCAAAACGGCACACCCATAATATGTTGGACAACCCCGTCCTCTTTGAGGGTTATTTGTTTGGGGTTCTTGACAGAAACCAAATGGCACTTTTTGGGTCATTGCCTCGTTGGTGCTTTTGGTCCCGAGTCGACTGGGAAAAACCGCTTGTCCTCGAACTGCACCGTGGCGAAGCCGTACATGAAGTGCGTGCACAGGTCCTTCGATCCAGAAATCCCAGAGCTTTGCAGAGGCGTGGCTTCATGGGAAATCAAAGGCCAAAAAGGGACCTTGATTCTGGGTGAGCCGGCAAGCTCATTCATGTTAACCCCGAATTAATAAGCCCATCCTATTAATAGGGGAGTGTTCCCTCTAAAAATCGTGAATCTCCACTAACAGGGGACACCCTCTATTAATCAACCAACGAAAAAGCGAATCATTTCACTCTTCTCTCAAGCCAGAGAGAAAAACAAAGGGCATGCATCTGAAGAAACCATGAACAAGTTGAGTAATTCACTTCACTTCACCACCAGCAATTGACTGCCTGTCAAAGAGCAATGGTCAAGAAGCAGCCTTACCTAAAGAATGGTCGGCGCGCCGGACAAGTGTCAGAGCCCCTGTGCAGAGACTGTCAGTGGAGTCCACGTGCATGGCTGCACTTCAAAACTGGGAGCCCCGCCAAAACTGTACACTGGCTGTTGACCCCGTTTCCAAAGCTTTTCCAACAAGGGTCGTTTGTCGCCATCCGCTGTGGGCATCTTGAGGTCGTGTCACCAACTGATTCGCTCTGGTGACTTTGCGCCATCAGCAACCATTCAGGATGGTGCTGGCGCCCTTTACTCCCAGATTCATACATACCCCCAAGAGAAGAAACACCCATTCCGCTTTGTCTCGAAAGGGGACACCCCTGTTACGACCTCAAAAGGGTATCCTTGAAAAGGAGAAAACCTCTTGCTGGTGTTGCCATCCTCGAATTCGGCTGAGCTGCTCCATCCACGACGCCAAGCTCAAACATGTCCTTGCCCTGGTTGATGAGTCCACTGCGGTAGCGTGCCCAGTTGGTGAAGTAGCACCTCAGCTTCAGCTTGCTCAGGGCCTAGGTCCTGGCCTTTGCTGCAACACTTTTGGGGTTCCCTTCAAAATCAACCAATCCAAAACTTGTCTGCTTTTGGATGGCGAAGATCCTTGAATACCTGGGACCTGGCAAAAATGAAGTAAGACTTGGGTTGATGTGGAGCACGGGCCATGAAACGTTTTCAATGCTACTAAAGATCGCACAGCACATTGCACACATGCAAGCAGCATGATCCTGTATGCATTGGTACGTACTAGTGCGAGCAAGTAGGCAGCTTAGTCACTGATGGACAAGCACCGCGGTCAAACATCGGTGCAGCACAGTTGAAACATATTTGGGTTCCAGGGCCAGGGCCCAGAGCACAGCCATTCATTGTGGCACTTCTTTCCAAGGTGTGCTTTGAAGCCTTACTTGGTCACAGTGATTGAGAAAGCCCTTTAATTCCCCAGATAGCTGAAAGCTATAGGGGTTCTAACTTCTAATAAAGAGTGGAAAGTGATTTGCGAGATTGAGGGCCGGGTGCTAAGGGGCATGCAGTTTGGGGTGCTGGTGGATGCTGCTTTCCAAGCTTGACGGCCGGGTGTTAGGGGGCATGCAGTTTGGGGGTGCTGGTGGATGCTGCTTTGCGAGCTTGACGGCCGAGTGCTAAGGGGCATGCAGTTTGGGGTGCTGGTGGATGCTGCTTTGCGAGCTTGACGGCCGGGTGCTAAGGGGCATGCAGTTTGGGGTGCTGGTGGATGCGGTTTGGGGTGCTGGTGGATGCTGCTTTGCGAGCTTGACGGCCGGGTGCTAGGGGGCATGCAGTTTGGGGTGCCGGTGGATGCAGTTTTGCGAGCTTGACGGCCGGGTGCTAGGGGGCATGCAGTTTGGGGTGCTGGTGGAGGGGCACGCAGTTTGGGGGGCTGGTGGATGCTGTTCGCGCGTAACGGTTCGTGGCTGGTGTATCGTCATGATGTTCCCAACCACGTCATGATGCAACTGGGGTCACTGCGATGCTGCGTTATGGTTTGTGGTTGTAGTGGCGCCGTGATGCTGTCAACATCAGGATGATGCTGATACGCTGTCACAAGATGGTTCGTGGCTGTATCATCATGATGCTGCCTTTACCATCAGCATGATGCTGTTTGCATCACCATGATGCTGTCCGCATCATCATGATGCTGTCCGCATCATCATGATGCTGTCGAACTCATCAGAACTGTATCAGCATGATGCTTTCAACATCATCATTATGCTGCTGAACTCATTAGGACGTTGTATGCGCGTTTGTAGCGCACCATGCTCAGTGGCTGTGGTATCATCATGGTGCTGTCTACATCATCATGATAATGCTGCGTCATGGTTCGTAGCCGTGGTGTGCCATCTGGGGTCTATGCTGGTGTAGTTGCTTTTTTATTAAAGGAGCCGCTCATTTTCGGGAAGCTCAATTTGCGGGGTCAACCTTTCGTGACAAGGCGCACGTTGATCCACTCCTGACTGGTGAGCCGACCCTTCTCGAGGCTGTCCTTCTTCTGCAGCATCAACAAGCCGGAGCTGTTGGTTTCCTCGATGAAACCATCAGGCACCAGTCTGCAAAAGTATGGTGCGCGTTTATGTTTTCCTCATGGTTCTGGAACATCACCCGGTGTGTCATGCCAATATGGGTGATTCCCATGACTTTTGGTATCACGTTGAAGGGGAGTCCCTCGGTATTGCAGAAGGCTGCCCTAAAAGCCCATGTTCCACAAGTCCCTTATTGACTCATTTCCTGAGGGACGGGTCAGGAAAAGCGTATTCTTTTTGTATGCCACTAGTGGCCTGCCCTGAAAGTATAAAGTTCATGAACTCAGGAAGGGAGCTAAAGCGGCACTCAATGTAACCAGGCCTCCATAATGACTCCGCCTACTCTTGGCGACCTGTGAGGGTTGTTCAATCAGCAGGGTCCGATTTAATTTGGGGCAAACAAAATGATTCTTGATTTCCTTTTCTGAACAGGGGTCACAGAAGCTGCCCAAATAGGGCAACGGCTTCTTTGACAAGCCATGGGTGGGATGTTTAACTGGAGCCGCACACACGGCGATTCACCCAAACAAAAAACAAAAAACTAACAAACAAACAAACAAACAAACATCCATACACACGCATACCCATCCACATCCACATGCACACACACAATGACAAACACCAGCACGGAATCGCAACATCACAAGCAAACACAAACAGGCACCTTCACAACCACGTGCAACAAACACACGGACACACGAACTCATGGCGCACTTACACACACATGACACACATCACAAACACGATACCCCCCACACAGACACACACACACACACTCACACACTCACTCACACACACACACACTCACTCACTCACACACACACACACACACAACACACACACACACGCACACACACACACACACACCCACCCACCCACGCACGCACGCACGGACGCACGCGCACGCACGCGCACGCGCACGCGCACACGCGCACACGCGCACACGCACACACGCACACACGCACACTCGCACACACGCACACACGCACACACGCGCACACGCACACACGCACACACGCACACACACACGCACACACGCACACACACACACACGCACGCACGCACGCACGCACGCACGCACGCACGCACGCACGCACGCACGCACGCACGCACGCACGCACGCACGCACGCACGCACGCACGCACGCACGCACGCACCGCCACAGCACGCCCGAAACTCACGCACGCACGCACGCACGCACGCACGACACGCACGACACGCACGACACGCACGACACGCACGACACGCACGACACGCACGACACGCACGACACGCACGACACGCACGACACGCACGACACGCACGACACGCACGACACGCACGCACGCACGCACGCCCGCACGCACGCCCGCACGCCACGCACGCCACGCACGCCACGCCACGCCACGCCACGCCAC